TGTGGACATCTGGGGAGGGGCAGCCAGCTAATGGGGGGGGGGGGGGGGGGATCAAGGACACCGAGCTAGATGGCGGCTGCAGTGCTGGGGACAGAGGGCAGGAGGGGGACCTTGTCCTCCGTTCTTCACCGGGTCTCCCCGATGCCTCCAACGGGGCCTGCCACGCACAGGCCCCCAGCCAGAGCCACTGAGTAAACGAACCTTTATGCAACAGGTTTGTTGGGGACACGATGGCAGAATACCTCATCCCCGCCCGCGGGCCTCGCATTCTATAGGGGACGCGAAGCACCGTTGAGCGGTGTGGTCCGGGCCTCCGTGGGGCAGTGCCCAGTGCACGCAGGCCAGGGGTGGCAGGAAGACCCCCAGGGGAGTGGTGCCTGGAAAACCAGCTGGAGGTGAGGGGCATGGAGGCAGATGCGGTGGTGGGAGAGAGATGAAGGCGTTCTGGGGGCCACAGGGAGTTTGCTTTGGTGGGCCTCGCAGCCGCAGGGGAGGGAAGGTCGGCGGGGTGGGAGGGTCTTGCCGGGCGACTCTGTCTGAGGACCATGTGTGTTCAAAGGGCTCTCCCTCCTAAAGTGACCTGGCGGCGCAGGTGCTGGTTGGCTGAGGGGGGCGGGGAGGGGCGAACGCTTGTTACTCAGCTGAGGAGGGAATGGTCCTGCGTGTCTGGGATCAAGCGTGAGCCAGGGCTCAAAGTCCTCTGTCACATTGGCAAATGTCTGATAAATCAGGAGATAAGGGTGGGCGGAACACGGGCTGGGGAAGACTGGACTGACTAGAACAGCACCGGGCAAGGGTATGGCCAGGACATCGGGGAGCACAGCCACAGAGCCGCTGGGGCAGGGGCCCTGCAGGCTGGGGGCAGAGGCAGGGAAGACCGGAGGGGTACCCTCTTTTCCCCTTTGGTAAGGCAGTGGCGGAAGAAAGTTTGAGGAAAGAACTAGAGCTGTAACATGGTCGTAACCTAGCTGGATGGACTCCTTGCCAGCTGGGCTTGGGCAACGTCATATATATTCTTCCTTAATTAACGTTGGATCAGGCTCTGCCCCACCAGTGTGCCTAGCATCTGGAACCTAGGGGCCAGTTTGAGGCGTTACCATGAGTGTGCTCCATTCTTTCCTCTCCTGGTCACATGGTGGCCATTGTTCCTTCAGCCACATAGTGCCACGTGGTGGTCCTTGTCCCTGACCTCAGGCCGGGCCTCCGGGGGTCCCCGCTCTGTTCCCCAGGCCTCGATCTCAGTGTCCAGCCCCACAGGTACTCATGCAGGTGCCCCCAGCAGATGGCCGGCCACCCCAGGCTTGGCGTGCGCTGGAGACCCTCCCTCTGTCTCATCCCCAGACCCATCAAAGCCCAAGCTTCCCCTGGCAAGAAGAACCCAACCTCAGGAACTGGGAGACATGGTTGCTCGACAAGAAAATATCCTTTACTTGTTCATCCTGAGCCAGTGGTAGAAAATACAACACAGCTGATTTTTAAAACATATTAAGAGGAAATTCACGTAACGCAAAGTCAACCATTTTGAAGCATCCAATTCAGCAGCATCTAGTCCACTCAAAATGTTATGCAGCCATCATCTGAATTTTGCTTCAGAACATTTTCATCTCCCCCTAGAAAGGTGCAGTACCCAGTAAGCAGTTACTCCCCATTCCCTCCTCCCCCTCCTGCCCCCTCCCCCCACCCCACCCCAGCGCCGCCGCAACCACCGATCTGTGTTCATCTCTACAGATTTCCCCGTTCTCGATACTTCATATAAGTGGAATTATGTCACAGTGGCCTTCGTGTCTCATTTCTTTCACTGATCACATTGTTTTTGAGATTCATCCGCGATGCGGCATGTATCAGTACTTCATTCGTTTTTATGGCTGAATAACACTCCGTTGTATGGATAGACCACATTGTGTCCATCCACTCATCTGTTGATGGACACTGGGGCTATTTCTACCTTTTGGCTATTGTGAACAGTGCTGCTATAAACATCTGCATACGTGTACTTGTTTTTGTATCTGTTTTCAATTCCTTTGGGTCTATACCTAGGAGTGGAATTGCTGGGTCATATGGTAATTCTATGTTTACATTTTTGGGGAACTGTCACACTGTTTTCCACAGCAAATGCACCATTTTACATTCCCACCAACAAAGTATGAGGGTTCCAGTTTTTCCACATACTCACAACACTGGTTATTTTCCATTTTTTGGATTATAGCAATTTCAGTGGGTGTGAAGTGTTATCTCACTGTGGCTTTGATGTGTATGTATATCCTCGATGGCTAGTGGGGTTGAGCGTATTTTCATGTGCTTATTGGCTATGTGTGTATATATTTTTTTGAAGAAATGTCCATTTTGAAATTGGGTGTTGTTTGTTGAGTTCTGGGACTTCTTTATATATTCTGGACGCTGGACTCTTTTTTTTTTTTTTTTGCGGTACGGGGGCCTCTCACTGCTGTGGCCTCTCCCACCGTGGAGCACAGGCCCAGGATGAGTAGGCCCAGTGACCATGGCCCACGGGTCCAGCTGCTCCATGGCACATGGGACCCTTCCAGACCAGGGCACGAACCCCCGTCCCCTGCATCGGCAGGCGGACCCCCAAACACTGCGCCACCAGGGAAGCCCTGGACGCTGGACTCTTATTAGATATGTGATTTACAAATATTTTCCCCCATTCTGTAGGTGGTCTTTTTACTCTCTTGACAGTGTCCTCTGATGCACAAAAGTTTAAAATTCAGATGAAGCCCAACTTACCTTTTTTCCTTTTGTTGCGTATGCTTTTGCAGTCATATCTAAGAGTCCAGGTCAAAAAACCTCTATGTTTCCCCTGAGCTTTATTTAATTAATTAATTAATTAATTTATTATCTTTGGCTGCATTGGGTCTTCACTGCTGTGCACGGGCTTTCTCTAGTTGCAGCGAGGGGGGGCTACTCTTCGTTGCGGTGCGCAGGCTTCTCATTGCGGTGGCTTCTCTTGTTGCGGAGCACGGGCTCTAGGCACGTGGGCTTCAGTAGCTGTGGCTCGCGGGGTCTAGAGCGCAGGCTCAGTAGTTGTGGCGCATGGGCTTATTTGCTCCGCGGCATGTGGGATCTTCCCGCACCAGGGCTCAAACCCGTGTCCCCTGCACTGACAGGCAGATTCTTAACCACTGCATCACCAGGGAAGTCCCTCCCCTGAGTTTTATGGTTTAAGCTCTTATATTTAGGTTAACAAAAATTAACTCAAAATGGAGTTAATTTTTTTGTATATGGTGTGAGATAGGGGTGACCGTTGATTTCTCACTCAGCTTCTTAAACAATTTTTATTGAAATATAGTTGATTTACAATGTTGCGTTAATTCAGGTGTACAGCAAGGATTCGGTTATACATATACATACCTATATATGTATTTTAGATTCTTTTCCATTATAGGTTATTACAAGATATTGAGTATATTTCCCTGTGCTATACAGTAGAAACTTGTTATTTATCTATTTTATATATAGTAGTGTCTATATGTTAATCTCAAACTCCTCATTTTTCCCTCTGCCACCCTTTCCCCTTTGGTAACCATACATTTGTTTTCTATGTCTGTGAGTCTATTTCTGTTTTGTAAATAAGTTCATTTGTATCAGTTTGTTTTTTGTTTTTCTTTCTTTTTGCGGTACGCGGGCCTCTCACTGTTGTGGCCTCTCCCGTTGCGGAGCACAGGCTCCGGACGCGCAGGCTCGGCGGCCGTGGCTCACAGACCCAGCCGCTCCACGGCATGTGGGATCTTCCCGGACCGGGGCACGAACCCGTGTCCCCTGCATCGGCAGGTGAACTCTCAACCACTGTGCCACCAGGGAAGCCCCTGTATCATTTTTTTAGATTCCACATACAAGCCAGATCATATGATGTTTGTCTTTCTCTGCCTGACTTACTTCACTTAGTATGACCATCTCTAGGTCCATCCATGTTGCTGCAAATGGCATTATTTTGGTTTTTTTTTTTATGGCTGAGTAACAGTTCATTCATCTTCTCCTGCTGCCATGTGACCCTGACAAGGGGCCTCTGTGGACCCAGCTCTGCTCCCCCCACTCCCAGCTTGGCACAGGCTAGGACATGCCCTTGGGATGCTTCGTGGTAGGACCCCTTCTTCCATCCCCAGTGGCTGGCACCCAGGGTTGTCGGCTGGAGAGGAGAAGAGAGCATCCAGGTTGCAGGATGACGGCGTGAGCCACTGGTCGGAGCCTCTGGCTTCTTCTCGTCCAGCCTGGGCCCCTCATCCCTGTCCCTCTGCCAGTGGGGAACCTGCACAGGAAGCATGGGCTGGGGGGAGAGGGGCAGAGAGTGGGCTGCCTCCTCCCCCTGAGCTGTGCCATGTTGAATTCTCGGATGGGGTCCACGGGCCTGATGTTCCCACACCCCAGATGGGCCTCCCCTAAAGACACAGGTGACAACCTCCCAGGAGCAGAGCCTCTACTGAGAATTTCATTGACACTCCTCTTTATCCCTGTGTGTTGGAATTCTCCGGGACCAGGAACGTTCCGCCAGAGAAAATGATGAGACCCAGAGAGTGTCCAGGACCTCTGGGCTATTTGGCCGTTGGGCAGGTGATATGCCAGGTGTTGTGAGAAAAGCAGTCCCCAGGATGGAGAGATGGCCTAGGAGAGGTGGGGTGTGGAGCGAGGACGAGCTTAGCTGGAGAGGTGAGCAGGGGTCAAATCCCCGCACACACACACACACACACACACACACACACACACACACACACCTCTGGGCTTGAGGAGCAGAGCAAGGGGCAGGGCTTGGCCCTGAGAGCAAGGGAAGCCACCAACTGGGCCTCTCTGTGATCTGAGGTGGGGGCGAGATGCTGCCCCCGGGGCTGTTGGGGGCAGCTGGCTTTGGGCATCCAGCCGACAAGTCTGGCTTTTGTAGTGGAACTCACCTGGCTGGCAGCGCTGGGTAGATTTGGACAAACAGGAAATCTGCTGAGGCTCCTCCCTGACACCTGACTCCTCCCCGAAAGAATGGACAGGTGGCGTTGGCCCTGGGGAAGGAGCTGGACTTTACTTCTCCGGTTAACCTGGCTCTGAGCCTGAGCTCTGAGCTGTGTGTAGCTTCTGGTGGGCTGACCTCTGCCTGCCACCCCCCATATCTGCCTCCAGGCTTCTGGCCTGCGGTCGGTCCCAGGAGCCATGGACCCCAGAGGTGAGTGGGGAAGGCCAAGGGCTCCAGGAATGGAGCTGTGGGCCCCGCTCTAGGCATCTGACAGTCTGGCCCAGCTTTCCCAGCTGCACTAGAGCCAGAGGTCCAGAGCCAGCCTTGGCGAGGACAGCGGGAGCAGAGAAGGTCTGGGGAGCTGCGCTTGCATGTGTTGGGGGTGGTCTTGGGTAGGGACGCTGCTGGCTTCCAGGGAAGTAGGATGGATGGGACGTGGCCAGGGTGGAGGAGGGTGGAAGGCAGACCCTCGGTGGAGCTGTCCTGATTTGACATGCCAAGCTCCTGCCCGGCTCTCCTGCAGGTAGGAGCACCTCTGCCTGCCCCCTCTCCCCGGCCTTCTCTTTCCTCTACTTGTCTGGGCCCCAGAGAAGAGAGAAGGCAGTCAGTGAAGGATTTCCTCCTGCTGTAAAGACTGCCTGGTCCAAGTTCCTCCCAGGAGCTTGGACACAGCCAGTGCCTGTGTGGGAGGTAGGAACCCAGGGCACCTGGCAGGGGTTGTGGGGAGGTGGAGGTGTTGATGGAGAGAGAGGCAGGGAGGGAAGGAGGAAAGGGCCAAGGGGACAAGAGCCTCCCTACGTCCAGGCTGGGTCCTGGACGTCATGAACCCAGCCCTGATCTGACCCAGCGTCACCTTGTGAGGCTGCGGGTCGAAAGGCAGAGGGGAGGGGACAAGAGAGGGAGGACGAGGAAGGGGCAGAGCAGCACTAAGCTCCCCAGAGGGTGGTCTGTGCCTCCGGGGTTGAGGGCTGGAGGCTCTGCCTGGCAACCACTCAGGTCTTACTTGTTAGAACCCACCCAACCCCCGACCGGCCCCCGGAGTCTCTCTTTACTGGACCAGTGGAGAAGGGTAGGGGAGGGACCGGGGGGCTCTGGGCTTTCCAGACACCTAGGAAGGCTCCTGTGCCTCATCCGCCCAGCACCCCAAGCAGGAGGAGGTGGCCCTGGTGAGAAGCTGGGAGGGTCCTGGGAGGCCACAAACGCCAACACGGTTCCTCACTCCTTCTGTTCCTTCCTGGCTCCAAGGACAGGGACCGGCTGGGGTGGGGGGCGCATGCCAGCACCTGCGAGGAGGCAGCGGAGGGGGATGGGACTTCTGCCGTCCTTCAGGGCGTCAGGGCTCAGCGCGGGCAGGACCCAGGCCCCCGCCTGCTAATGGGAGCCCCTGGGTGCGTGGAGGAGTGCACATCTCCCTGGAGGAGAAGAACAGAGGACACGGCCACCTCTTTTTGTGACATTTAACGCAAAAATTCTCTTTCACTGATGGGAAGCGGCCAGACTGACCTGGGTGGGGCTGGGCCTCGGGCAGGGCTCCCGGAAGAAATCGTGTTCCCAAACAGACTGGCATGCACCAGTATTCCTGGTTCATGTTTGTACTCGTTCCCTAAAGCCGTGTGTTCTCAGAGTGTACTCTTCATGACCAAAGCAGAGAGGCCCTTGTGAGGGTGGTGGGTGGTAGGAAGGGCTACCAGTGCCCAGAGCCAGCCAGATCCCATGGCCCTCCCTGGCACCATTTTCGACATCCTGCCCGGGTGTCACCCAGACCACCCCTGGGGCCTGGCGGTCCAGTTTCCAGTCTCTCTGGATCCTCGGAGAGCAGGTGTTTTCCACGGTCTCGTCCAGCATCCTAACTCCCCCTCCTCTGTCTGGTCCATCCAGCACACCTCGCTGCTCCCTCCCTTCCTGGGCTCACTTCCTGGGCCAGAGCCACACGCCCTGCATTTGTCCGGGAGCAGAGGAGAGCTCCTCGCACTCTGCAACAGAAACTGTGAACTTCAGGTTCACCTGGGCCAGCCCGCTCTGTTTCAGAGATGAGTGAGGAGTGGGGGGCTCAGAAAGTCAGCTGGGAGGCCAGCTCGCTCTGTTTCAGAAATGAGTGAGGAGTGGGGGGCTCAGAAAGTCAGCTGGGAAGCGCCAAAACCCAGACCAGTCCCCAGCCCTGAACTACCGAGCAGCTGTGCTGCACAAGGTGTGGGCGGAGAAGATTCCATCCACATCTGTGCATTGAGCTTCTACTGTGTACCAGACACCGTCTAGAGAGGGGGCAGGAGAAGTGTCAGGACACACGTCCCCGGTGCCACTGGGCAAGGCGGACACCACGCAGGATGTTGGGGGAAACTTACAAGCAGAGAAATGGTCGAGCTGGCCCATGATAGCCCAGCTCTCAGCACCCGGCAGGGTAGATCGGGGAAGGCGGGCTACGAACACCAGCCGTCCAGCATGCCAATACGCAGACAAAGGGGGTCCCCGAGGTCAGGAATCGGCTTTGCTGGACAGGAGCCGACTTCTGCCCATTCTTCCATCAGCTAGCTCAGGCCGCTGAACCCCGTCAGGGGCGGCAGATGAGCATGCAAGCCCAACCCATTTGTCTGCCCACTTTTTTTTTTTTTTTAAGAATTATTGTGGTAAAATATATAACAAGAAACTTATCATTTAAGCCATTTTTAAGTGTACATTTCAGTGGCATTAAGTACACCATCACCACCATCCATCTCCAGAACTCTTTCAACTCCCCAGATGGAAACCTGAACTCCCCTCCACCGCCGCTCCAGCCCCTGACTCCCCACCATCTACTTTCTGTCCCTGAGGACTTGACTATTCTAGGTCCCTCAGACAAGCGGAATTCTACAGGATTTGTCCTTTTGTGACTGGCTTACTTCACCTGGCATGATGTCCTTGAAGTCCATCCGTGTTGCAGCTCAGGACAAGCCTTTTTAAGGCTGACTCCTTTATCTAGCTAGCTAGCTATTTATTTATTTATTTTTGGCTGCGTTAGTCTTTGTTGCTGCGTGCGGGCTTTTCTCTAGTTGCGGCGAGCAGGGGCTACTCTTTGGGCTTCTCATTGGGTGGCTTCTCTTGTTGCAGAGCAGAGGGTCTAGGCATGTGGGCTTCAGTAGTTGTGGCGCATGGGCTCAGTAGTTGTGGCTCGAGTGCTCTAGAGTACAGGCTTGGTAGTTGTGGTGCACGGGCTTAGTTGCTCCGCAGCGTGTGGGATCTTTCCAGACCAGGGCTCCAACCCGTGTCCCCTGCATTGGCAGGCGGATTCTTAACCACTGTGCCACCAGGGAAGTCCAAGGCTGACTCCTATCCCGTTGTGTGGATGCCACACATTTTCTTTATCCACCAACCATCGATGGACATTGTGTTTTTGGCTCTTGTGAATAAATACTGCTGTGAACACGGGTGTCCAAATATCTCTTTGAGTCTCTGCTTTTACCTCTTTTGGTTATACACCCGTGAGCGGAATTGCTGGATCATATGGGAATTCTATGCTTAGTTTTTTGAAGAAGTGCTGTAGCTTTTTCCACACGACATGCACCAGGGATACATTTTGAAGGTGGAGCTGACACGGTGTGATAGTGAATTGGATTCAGGGTGGGAGGGAAAGGAAGTATTAAAGACGCCTTGGAGACCTTTTTTTTTTTTTTTTTGGCCATGCCTCACTGCTTGCAGGATCTTAGTTCCCCAAACAGGGATCGAACCCAGGCCCCACCAGTGAGAACACCAAGTCTTAACCACTGGACCACCAGGGAATTCCCAGCCTTAGAGCTTTTGATGCATGGTGACGCCCTATCATGAGACAGGAGGAGTGCCCCCCTTGGTCCCCCTTGGGGACCTACAGTCCTGTTTGGCCATGATAATGTTGATGTGCCTTCAGTGGGGATGGCCATGAATGGTCCAGTTTCCTAGTCCACATGTCCACAGAGGGGTGAAGGCTGCAGAAATGACTGGATGGTCAGCAGTGTAAATATGATATTTAATGCTCTGGTACAAGGTAGGAACCCCTGGGTGGTGAGTGTGGGTACAGGAGGGAGCCCAGGACTGCCCCTGGAGTCTCCAACATTTGTGCTACAGGAAGAGAAAGAGCAAAGGCCAGCTGGGCAGGTGTGGCCTGGGAAATAGACCAAAGAGAGCAGAGTTCCACTGTGGCTGACGGGTTAATTCAGACAAGGAAGGGAACACTGGATTGAGGCTGCCGAGATCACTGGAGCCTTTGTCGAGGGAAGTTTCAGTGAGGCAGTCAGGGTGAAAGGCTGGCTAGTGAGTGTAAAGGACGGAAGAAGGTTTGGAATGCTCGGGTGTAGAGGACTTTCCTTTACAAGATTTTCTGGAAAGGGAAGCTCATGAGAACCGGGAGGGGAGCTGGAGGTGGAGATGTCACAAGAATATGAGCAGTGTACAGATGTCACTCTCTGCTGCACCCCTGCCCTGACCACAGTTATTTCTTCCTGTTCACCTGCTCCTGCAGGTGCCTTATTGCCATGGCACAGCCAACACCCCGTTTCTCACCCAATGGGTGAAAACCGGAGACTTGTACAACCCTTATTTGCACTGCTCTTCCTATCGTGAGATTGAATTTCATTGCTGCGCGGGCTTTCTCTAGCTGCGGCGAGCGGGGGCTACTCTTCGTTGCGGTGCTCGAGCTTCTCATTGTGGTGGCATCTCTTGTCGCGGAGCGCGGGCTCTAGGCGCGGGGGCTTCAGTAGTTGTAGCACGTGGGCTCAGTAGTTGTGGCGCACAGGCTTACCTGCTCTGCAGCATGTGGGATCTTCCCGGGCCAGGGCTTGAAGCTGTGTCCCCTGCATCGGCAGGCGGACTCTCAACAACTGCGCCACCAGGGAAGCCCTTGGACTCTATTCTGCTCCATTGATTGGTTTATCTTAATGAAGTTCACCTGGTCTTGATTATGCTAACTTTCCAATAGATAGAACTTAAAATTATGTAGTCCTTTGAATTTATTTATATTTTTCAAAGTTATTTCAACTGCTATAAGTCCTTTGCATTTCCATACGGATTTTAGAATTCAGTTAGTCAATTTCTCCAAAAACCTTGCTGGGATTTTGATTGGAATTATTAATATATTGAATCTATAAGTTAATTTGGGGAGGTTTGACGTCTTAACAATATTAAGTCTCCTGATCCATGATCACGGTAGTTCTCACCATTTTAAAAGACTTCCTTAGTGTCTCTCAGCAATGTTTTGTAGTTTTCCCTGCCCATGTTTTGCACATTTTTTGGTCAGACTTTTCTGACAAAGTATTTCATATTTTGTATACTATTGTGAATGGGTTGTTTTATTAATTTCCATTTCTGATTGTTGGTTGTTAGTATAGAAAATAACAATTGATTTTTGTATATTGACCTTGTATCCTGTGGTTTTGCTAAACTCACCAGCTCACTTATTAGTTCTAGTAGCTTTTTTATAGATTCCATCAGATTTGCTACATAGATGAACATGTAGTATGGAGACAAAGACAGATCAGCTTTTTCCTCTCCAATCTGGATGCATTTCTTTTTCTTTCTTTTTTTTTAAAGCAGCTTTATAGGGGTAAAGTGGACATATAATAAACTGCACATTTATTTAAAGTGCAGAATTTAGTAACTTTTGATATGTATACACCTGCAAGACCATCGCCACAGTCACAAAAATTAATATAGCTATTATTACCCCCAAAGAGTCCTGTGCTCATTTGCAATCCCTCCCTGCCACGCTTACCTACCCACCTCCATCCTCAGGCAACCACTGTTCTGTTTTCTAGCACTATAGATTAATTTGCATTTTCTAGAATTATATAGAAATGGAATCCTCCATTAAATATTTGCTTTTATCTGGATTATTTCCACCCAGCTTAATTTGTTTTAAAATATGACTATAAGCTTAATTGATGTAATTCTCTCTCAGACACACACGATGGGACAGAACAGACTCTCAAGTATGACAAAAACTTCTTATGCACTTAATCTTGCCCATTTATTAAATCAAACACAAATTGGACATATCAAATTCCCTTAAACATTTAAAATATAGGACACATAGAGTTTATACAAAATGATACAATGTTACCAAATTCACTGTAAACTTGTATAAGCACGTTTTTGTTTTGTTTTGTTTTTAATTTTTATGTTTTTATTGACATATAGTCGATTTACAGTGTTGTGTTAGTTTCAGGTATACAACAAAGTGATTTGGTTATACATATATATATTCTTTTTCTTTTCCCTTATAGGTTATTATATAATACTGAGTATAGTTCTCTGTGCTATACAGTCAGTCCTTGTTAGTAATCTATTTTATATATAGTAGTGTATATACGTTAATCCCAAACTCCTAATTTATCCCTCTCCCACTCCTTTCCCCTATGTCTGTTTGTGTGTCTATTTCTGTTCATTTGTATATATTTTTTTAAGATTCCACATATAAGTGATATCATGTGATATTTGTCTTTTTCTGTTTGCCTTACTTCACTTGGTATGATAATCTCCAGGTCCATCCATGTTGGTGCAAATGGCATTATTTCATTCTTTTATGGCTGAGTGATACTCCATTGTATATAAGTACCACATCTTCTTTATCCATTCATCTGTCGATGGACATTTAGTTTGCTTCCGTATCTTGGCTATTATAGATAGAAGCACATGTTTTTGGATACACCCCTGAGTTTATACATCCCTGGGTTTTCACATTTTCATACCCAGTCAGAGGAAACTTAGGTATATACCCTTACCAAATGAAATTCTTTGGTAAATGTTTCTGGGCTGCACCCAGATGTACATAGTTTTCTTAGTCCAACACTTGGGAGCCCCTCGTATTTGTGATCAACGAGATTCTGGCTGCTGGGACATCAGACTTGGGCCTCCGAGACCCAGCGGTGCAGTGGCTATGGGGTGGGGGGTTCTTTATCAAGGGTGGAGCTTGTTAAACCCACAGGCTTCAGCTAAGATTTTACTAACGCATATGATACAGCTTCCTTCAAACATGCGTGTTCCTTGGAAGTGTAGCATCCCTGCAGTGGTCTCCCAGGCCTTACTGTTTTTGCTGCGTGTAACTCTGCGTGAGCTCCTACAGCATCAGGGCTTCGGGTGTTTATGGGGGTTGGCATCCCCTCGGCGAGCTTTGTCTCTCACAGCCCTTCTGTGTCTCGTCACCCACCCTGCTGGTCCATTCATGGCCACAGTCCATCTCAGCCGCTCCTTTGGAGCGTGCGAGTGGTCCTGGCCCCCTGGGGGCCTGCCAACAAGCAGGGGCACCCAGACAGGTGCCCAGGGGCTGCAGGGCGAGGCTCAAAGGGATTATGCTTCCAGGAGAGGTTATCACCCACCTTCCCTGTGAGCACAAAAGAGGGAGAGGGCTTCCGGCTGGAGCCGACAGGAGGCCGTTCCTGGCCAGTGCCCAATTCTGGTCTCAACAAGGTGATTTGGGGACCAGGTAAACTAGCCCCAAGTGACCTAGGCTTCTTCTCCACAGAATTCTGCAGAAAGAGCGCCAAGGTCTGGCTGTGCTCGATCCTGCTTTGTGCTGTACTTCTGGGCTTCTATAGGTAAGGAGGATGGTAACAGCCCTGGGACCCTACGGCAGGTGGGGATTTATGACTTACGTGACTTAACCTACTTACAACTTACTTACGTTAACGGAATGAGACCGGCTAGGTTTTTTCCCCTGTAACAATGATCCCAGAGAAGCCGTGAATGACACTGTAATTCCCATCTTGCAGATACCCCTTGCCTCATGTCACAACACTTGACAGGGGCAGGGCTGAGATGCAGGACCTCAGAACCAAATCCGGTCCAGCTCCCTCATCTGTTCAGCACTTGGGGGCCCAGCAAATGCTTGCTGGACAGAGGGTGGATGAATGGGCTAAGCTGACGGGACTACTCTCTCAGCAGCCCTGAGGTCCACCACCTGCAGGGCCAACAGGGGCGTCTGCCATTTAGGTAATAACTTTCACCTCCTTCCACCCACAAACGTTGGCATTCCTGAGCCTCGCCCAGGAGCGAAACTTTGCTTGGTCTTCAGGATGGGGACAGGCGCCACCAAGCTTCTTCGGTGGTGGGGTCAGGATTGGTGCGGGAAGGCGGGACTGGGGGAGAGGTAGCGGCTCTGGAGGGGGCGGGGCTGGGGAGAGGGGGGAGCTGGCATAGGGGGCGGGGCTGGGGAGGGGCGGGGCTGGCAGGGAGGGCAGGGCTGGTGGAAGTGGATGCGAACCTAGCCTTTGCCTGGTTAGCCCCCTCTCCTCTTGAGGGAGCACTTTCTTAGCAAGATGCTACTTTTGAAGGAATGACTGAGAACCTTTCCTCTCTGCAGCCAGGTTACACACAGAGTGGTTCTGCGGCAGATGCAGCTGGGGAAAAAGGAGTCCAGGTAGGGTGGGAGCTGGGCTCCCAGGGGTGAGGGGGGCATTGCCAGAGCTTCCTTTGGGATTCCAGGGCCAACCTGGGCAGCCACGGCTCCTGTCCTTCGTCCCAGAGCGGGGCTCTCCCCAGGCCGCTTTGTCACCATCGGGCGTGGAATCCCTTTGGGCAGAGCTGAGCACCAAACTCCCAGACAGAGTCAGCGTGTCCGAGGTTTCTTTGCCCTGCTTCCCGCCCCTGGCCCTCTCACCTGGCCACACGGCCCAAACTTTGCAGCCATGGGGAGCTTTCCTTAGTAGGGGCTGTGGCGTGATGGCCCTCGGGGGGTCCTGGCCGGTCTGGCACGGCAGTGCTTCTCCCAGCACCCTGTCCCCAGCTCTAAGCACTCTGTTTTCCTCCCTCAGTGAAGGTGACTGTCACCTGGACACCTGCAGGATACCTGAAGTACCCAGGTATCGGAGATCTCATCTTTGGGCTGTTTCTGTGCCTAGTTCCAAGCAAGTCACCATGTGTCTCCCTCCTCCCCCCACCCCCACCCCACAGAGCCTGAGTTGTGAGATTTGTCACGGGGGACGGCGTGGACGGGGTGGGTGCGGGCCAGCCCTGGGCTTCCCACCCCTGAACAAAGCAGGACACGAAGACCTTAGTCGTAATGAATTAGACCACAGGAAGGACTTACAGTGCACAAGGAGAGAAGAAAGAGACATGGGTGGGTCTCTAACCTCAGCAGTATCATAGAACAGTTAGGGAAGATCCTCCTTTCCTCTCCTCGTATCTCAGCCCCATCAGTTTATCCCTGGGGAAGTGCGTGGCCTCCCCAGGGCCGGGTAGGCACAGCTGGGTGAAGGAAGGAAGGGAGGAAGGAAGTCCCTGTGGCTGAGTGCCACCTCCTGGCAGGTATGGCACGCTGAACCGGGAGGAAGACCCTTGCAGCCACGGGCATCTATGATGCATTTCCTCACATGTGCGTCTTGTCCGCAGGTTGCTTTACCCCAAGGCCCAGCTCCTCAAGCCCACGTAAGTAGGCGAGTTCCTGCCACGGCTGCAGCCAGTGGGTTCCCTGCCACCACGTACCTCTTGTTTTCTGTTCACTTGCTCCTCTCCCTGGTTCAGTCTTTTCTTTCACCTTTTTCCTTTTCTTTCTTTCCGTGCTATAGGAGGCTGGGTTAGTTTTTAATGGGTTTGGTACAAGTTGAAGGAGCGATGGAATATGCCTCTAATTCTTGGTCATTAGGAGCTGTGTGGAGGTCCATACCAGGCACAGAACCTTCTTTTGTTTCTTCTTGGGGAAGGATGGCAGGGGTCTGGGCTGGGTTATCCCTGAGGTCTTTCCATGGGTGTAAATATCTGAGGAACTGTGGTTCCAAACTCACCTCCACACGCAATCGCCTGTCCCCAAATCCAAGCCTCCTTAGCCTGTACCTCCTGCTTCCACTGCCAGAGAGAGAGAGTGCCGGCGGCCCTTTTCTGAGGCACTAGACCCCAGAGCTTCGGGGCAGGAAGTCTCCCAGAGACCACTTTGATCAGCCCTCATTTTATGAGCAGGGAAGCTGAGGCTCAGAGAAGTGAAGGAAGTTGCCTGAGGCCCTGCGGCTGGTGAGGGGCAGATCGGGACGCAAGCTGGGTGGTTTCTGTCATGTCATGCCACATCCCTGCCAGGAGAGCTGAAAATGCTAGCTGTAATTTCTGAAACCTACGCCCACCCCTCCTTGAGTTTCTAGAGCTGCCAACCACGTGTGGCCATGAACACTAGAAGCAGGACTGCTCTAGAATGAGATGTGCTGTCGGTGTGAAGTGCACAGTGGACTTCAAACACTTAGTACTCGAAAAATGGACTAGGAGTTTGGGATTAACATGTACACACTACTATACGTAAAATAGGTAAACAAGGACCCAGTGTATAGCACAGGGAACTCTACTCAATATCTTGTAATAACCTATATGGGAAAAGAACCTGAAAAAGAATACATACATATGTAACTGAATCACTTTGCTGTACACTTGAGACTAACACAACTTTGTAAATGAACTATACTTCAATAAAAATACCAGTTACTTATTGAAATGATAATATTTTGGATATATTGCATCAAATCACCTGTAATTTTACCTGGTTCCTTTTACTTTTCTGTAGCTCCTAGACCATTTCTAGTTACATATGTTTCTGAGGGCCAGCACGGATCTGGAGGGACAAGTTGGGGTGAGCGTTTTTGGTGGATCCTGGTGGTGTGATGAACGACTGAATGAACACTTGGGAAATAAGAGTGGGGGGGAGGTGAGAGGCGTCTGTGCCGCTGGAAGATGGAGAAGGGGTAGAGAACACAGGGCCCCTGAGAGGGGCGGGGCCTTGAAACTCTTCTTCATCCCTGAAAGAGAACTCGCGATTTCTCTACTCACAGCAAGCATGTGGGTTTTCCCCACCAAGTGGTTCTGACACTCCCTGCAGTTAGCACAGACCCCCACAGCGGGAGGGCTCAGCCTCAGGGCCCCTACTTCACACACCCGTTACAAGGCCAGGTTGTCACCCGTGCTTCCGACCGACGGGCTCTAAATCATTTCTCACCACCCGCTCCTTGGGTTTGATGATTTGCTAGAATGCTCCCAGAACTCAAGAAAACAGTTTACTTACTAGATTCTTGGCTTGTTATAAAGGGTGCAGGTCAGGGACAGTTAGATGAAAAGGTAAATAGGGCCAGGAGTGGGGAAGGGGTGAGGCTCCCATGCCCTCCCCAGGAGCATCTCCCTCCCAGCACCTCTGTGTGCTCACCAACCCGGAAGCCGTCCGACCCCACAGTTTAGGGACTTTTATGGAGGCTTCATCACGCCGGCATGATTGAGTATTAACTCGATCTCCAGCCACTCTCCCTTCCCTGGAGGATGGGATACGAGGCTGAAAGTTCCAAGTTTCTAATCCTGGCTTGGTCTCTCTGGTGACCAGTCCCCGTCCTGAACTACCCACGAGCCCACCCAGAGTCACCTCATTAGAATAAAAGACGTCTCCTACGACCCCCGAAATCCCAAGGGTCTTACTAGCTCTGTGTCAGGTAAGGGGAGGGGAGGTAGTGGCAAATATATATTTCTTCTTATGGCAAAGTACCCATGTGCTGGGAGAGGGCTTAGAGCTTTGCCCTCAGTTGAGACTCTTCTCCTCCTGGAAACAGAGTTGGAAGGCCTCATAGAAGGAGGGTCCTATGGGATCCAGCACATGGCTGGTACTCAGGAGATACTCTAAGTTAGGGCAGTGAAGGGATGGGAGTGTTGAGTCTCGGGTGCTGAGCTTATGGGGCCAAGAGCCCTGGGTTGGGAGTCTGGAGTCCTGTCTGCTCCTAGCTCTGTGGCTCACAGACTGTGCAACTTTGGGCAAATCCTTCTCTGTGGCCCACATCCCCATGCCCTGCTCTCACACACTGTGACTCATCTCCCCAGGAGAGTGGATGTGCTGGTCATGACTCCCTGGTTTGCACCCATCATCTGGGATGGAACCTTTGACTCTGCCATCTTGGATGCGCAGTTCAGAAACATCACCATTGGGCTGACCGTGTTTGCCATCAAAAAGTAAGTGAAGGATGCTTGCCCGGGGTAAACCAGGAAACCGGCCCGAGCTGCAGGGGGGCACTCCTCTCTCGGTGTCTCTCTTTTCCAGGACAAGGTGCTCAGCTCACGGGGTGGGTTGGGGTGTGGAGTCACGTGTGACTTTGGGCGTAGGTGAACTTGGTGGGATCTTCAGGGCATCACTGGGCAGACCGCTGCTCAAGATAGCAGCCACACACCTGAGAGTCATCTGTTCCAGAGGTCACTGCGTCAACCTCTCAGAGATGGGCAGCTGACGTTCACCACTTCCACGTGCCAGCCGTTGTGCCAGGGGCTTAACCGCACCACAGCTCATACATGTGTGCTCCATTACCCCAATCTATTACCTCATACAAGTAAAATCATATAGTACTTGACTTTTTGTGGTTGGCTTATTTCACTTAGCATAATGTCCTCAAGGTATGGCTAAAGTTTTACAAAGTGTTTTTGTCTAAAAGTCTATTATTTTGCTGCTGTGTGAGTCTGTTAACACCCACCCTCTCTTTCCTGGGGGTTTTAGATACGTGGTCTTCCTGAAGCTCTTCCTGGAGACGGCCGAGAAGCACTTCATGGTGGGACACAAGGTCAACTACTATGTCTTCACTGACCAGCCGGCGGCTGTGCCCCAGATCCCCCTCCAGGAAGGGAGGCAGGTGGTGGTCCTCGAGGTCCGAAACTACAAACGCTGGCAGGACATATCCATGCACCGGATGGAGATGATCAGCAACTTCTCCCAGCAGCGCTTCCTCCGCGAGGTCCATTACCTGGTGTGCTTGGACGTGGACATGAAGTTCAGCGACCACGTGGGCGTGGAGATCCTGGCACCTCTCTTCGGGACCCTCCATCCTGGTTTCTACGCAGGTGATCGCCAGTCCTTCACCTATGAACGCCGACCCTTGTCTCAGGCCTACATTCCAAGAGATGAGGGTGATTTTTACTATGCGGGAGGCTTTTTTGGGGGGTCGGTCCCTGAGGTTTACCGGCTCACCGTGGCCTGTCATCAGGCGATGATGGCCGACCAGGCCAACGGCATCGAGGCTGTGTGGCACGATGAGAGCCACCTGAACAGGTACCTGCTGTACCACAAGCCCAGCAAGGTGCTGTCCCCCGAGTACCTGTGGGACGAGCAGATGCTGCAGAGACCACCTTTACTCAGGAAACTTCGATACGTGGCTGTGCCCAAGAACCACGCAGAGATTCGGAACCGATGAGAACACACTTCCCAAGAGCCCACGTTACCAGGCTGTAGCGCATGTCAGTGGTTCTGCTGTCTTGATAAGGGATTGGCCAAAGATTTGATGACGTGGATGAGGCCGTCTCTTTGTTTCCTCCTCTGGAGGGTCTCCCATCACTCATCAAACAAACCCAGCTCCGGGTTTTCATTCCCTCCTAATCCTGCATTCTCTTTAAATGTGACTGAGCCTTCAAGGTCTCTACAAGGTCACCTGTTAGGAAGCTGTCTTTGGTTCTCTCTTCTTCCTGCGGTTGAAGTGAATTGCTCTTCCCTCTGCATTTCCATAAAGTACTAAGTGTATTCTTTGGCTATGTCTGCCATTCTGCCTACATTACCCATTGGCCTTGCCCATTACGATGTGAGCTCCTGACGGCAGAGGCCAAGTACACACCTCAGTGCCTGATGCCCAGGGACTCTCAAAACTGTTCACATTTAAATTTAAGGAACTCTTTTTTTTTTTTTTTTAGCTGTGCAGCCCAGCTTGTGGGATCTTAGTTCCCTGACCAGGGATTGAACCTGGGCTCTCGACAGTGAAAGCGCAGAGTCCTAACCACTGGACCGCCAGGGAGTTCCCTGTTTTACCATATTGTGAGACAGCAGGAGAGGCCCGGCCTGAGAGCACTTCCTAGGTTTGCTTTGCTTGTGTTGGTAGCTTGTTGTTTCAGATTGTTTGTCTTTTTCTTATTGATTTGTGGGTGTCTATTACATATTTTTGGTTGTTTTTTTTTTGCGGTACGCGGGCCTCTCACTGCTGTGGCCTCTCCCGTTGCGGAGCACAGGCTCCGGATGCGCAGGCTCAGCGGCCATGGCTCACGGGCCCAGCCGCTCCGCGGCATGTGGGATCTTCCCGGACCAGGGCACGAACCCGTGTCCCCTGCATCGGCAGGCGGACTCTCAACCACTGCGCCACCAGGGAAGCCCTGTGTGGTTTTAATGTAACTTTCCTTCCTCTGGATAACCATTATCTGAGCACCATTTATTGAAAATGTTCGAAACCTTATTGAAAAGTTCTTTCCCCTACTGATTTGCAATATCATCGGTCACGTAGTATCAAGTGTCCCTGTGTGCCTAGGTTTATTTTGGGGTTCTCTAGTCTGTGTTCCATTGGTCTGACTGTCTATCCTTATGGCAATAACACATCATCTTAGTTACTCTAAGTTTATAAATAAATCTTCGTAACTGATTGGGTAAGTCCTCCCACATGGTTTCTCAAGAGTATCTTGACTACTCTCGGCCTGTTGCATTTCCATCTAACTTTTAAACTCTTGTGAAATTGCACAAAGGAGCCTTCTGTTTTTTTGGGTTTTTTTTTTTAAAGTTCTCTTTATTATCAATTAGAGGGTCTTTAGGATTCCCTGGCATGTTTTTTTTTTTTAATTAATTAATTTTGGCTGTGTTGGGTCTTCGCTTCTGTGCGAGGGCTTTCTCTAGTTGTGGCAAGCAGGGGCCACTCTTCATCGCGACGCGCGGGCCTCTCACTATCGCGGCCTCTCTTGTTGCGGAGCACAGGCTCAGTAGTGGTGGCTGATCTTGGAACCTCCCAGCCAAGTTGGGAGGAAGCCCAGGCTGTCGGGGGGCCCAGGTAGGTATCTCAGCGGAGGGCCAGCATCAACAGGAGGCCTTGGAGGTGAGCGCGGCCCCGCCCCCATCTGCCCTCCACCACCCGAGAGAGAGCCGAGGGAGACGTGACCCGAGGAGGAACCGGCCGGCTGCGAAGAGCAGGAAAAGAAGGGTGGTCCCGGCAGAGGGTAGAGCACGGACCTGTGGCACGTGCAGGACAACACCAACCACTGGGTGAACCACAGAGGGCAGGGCACTGCGGGAGGGACCAGGCTGCAGAGGCCGGTTGGAGGGGAGCCGACCACACAGGGGCTCATGTCGGGTTCTGGAAGGATGGGCAGATCACTCTGGCTAATGCAGCAGAACGGGGTCGGGCAGAGTGGGGCACGGAGAGGAGCAGAGAGGCTGCCAGAAAGATGAGGGGGCCTCACCCAGAGCAGCAGAGGGAAAGCAGAGCAGCGTGAACTGGAGAGACAGGGGTGGGGGGGGGGGACACGCAGAGGCCCCTGGAGGAGGATGGTGGGAGGTCAGAGGGAGGCAAGGCTGAAGCCAGACCCTGGGAGTCAGTGCTGCCCAGGGGAGCTGGCCCAGCTGCTCTGGGCACAGGGGAGAAAGGAGGAGGCCCAGGCCGGCGATGCATCAGGGACAGTGCAGGGCAGCACGACCCACCCTCCGTCACCCACCCTGTGCTCGCACACCCGCTCCCCAGCCTCAGGCGTCTCAGACTCAGGAGCCCCGCGCTGTGGGAAGAGCCAGACGCTCTTCAGGGTTCTGGAACAACCCTGCCTTTTCCTCTGCCCTGGGCCCACCTCCTGTGCTGGGGTGAGTCCCTGCTTCTCTCCTGGCCTCAGGTTCCTAATTGTCCCATAAGGGGTTGGGCAAGGAACTGCTTAACAGGCTCAGAGTGGTCACTGCACTGACTGTCCCTCCGGGGGGTGTGAGGGGATGCGCTCACAGGTGAACAGGCCTCCCCACCTCCACCGCGGGAGGGAGGCGATGTGGGCTGACTGCTGCAGGGGGCGGGCGGGGCCTCCTGCTTGCTGCGGGCCACGCACGGGGGAACCTGCGCAGCCAGGCAGCGCAGGAGCGTCAACCGCCTCCCAGCCTGCACGCGCGCCCAACGGCTCCTCAGCAGCCACGTGGGCAGCGTGGATGGGGGGTGATTGGCGGGGAGGAGCTTGGAAGGGTCCTGGGGGAGGGAGGCTGGGGTGGGGGCAAGGGGTGTGCATGGGGGAGGGCGTCTGGACCAGACCACACAGCGCTCTGAGTGTGGGGCAAGGAGTTCGTGCTCACTGCAGGTTGAGGGGGACAAGATACAGGCTGTCTTATCAGAGCCTCAGCCTGTCAAATCCTAGATTTGGAGGGATCTTGCTGGACATGTTGGACACCCCAGGATAGCATAGATCCCAAAGAACCGACCAGGGAGGAAGAGGCAGCCTCTCTTTCCTCCCGCACACAGTGGAGGCTGTGTCGTCATCTTACTCCTCTCAGGGAGGGGCCTGCTGCCTGGAGGGCCCAGAGATGGCCTTGTGTCAAAGCCACTCGGGTGATGTCTGGACCAGAGAGGTCTGAGTGAGGGGCCAAGGGGACTCAGCAGGACACTTTTGTAATTGTGGCCGTTCTGGGTCCAGGATGACACGGATGATGTGGAGTCACTCACCTGCTGGGTGGAGAGCAGTGAGGGGCTGAGGTCGCAGACCCTGAGACACAGCCCTCATGTGCCCGAGGCTGCCAAGCGTGTGTGGAGCTGAAGGCAAGGTGCTGCTGGAGGCCGAGGTCTCTGGGGATGATGAGGACGTCAACTCCTGGAACCCAAGGAGTAGATCAGCAGAGCCCAGAGCCTGCAGGGCCCCCCAAGCCGGCATCCAACTTCAGGGGCTTCTAGAAACTGGGGCGTCTTCTCCAACCCGGCTTCGTCCCCTTTGGGTATGCATTGAGATACACTGGAACTGGGAAGGGCCGTCAGGGAGAAGGGGTGGGGCAGTCATCCTCTCCTGGCCACCAGGGGACTCGTGGAAAAGCTCAGGATGATCCTCTCTGCCTGGGGCTGGAGTGCACACTGAGCGTGTGAACAACGTCCCAACCGTTGAGTTCAGGGCATCTCCTTAGCTGATGCCAGAACCTGGAATAGGAGCTTCTGCTGGTCCTGGGCTCCATGTTGGGGGACTGGTGGCTGGATTGAAAGACCAGGTTTGCTGTTGTCAGATCTACTGGGTGACGGATGCTCTTGGGTGCCCGTGGGCATAGGTACCAGTGACCCAAACATGGGAAGGTGCGAAGGAAGTGCACAGAAGCAGTGCCTGGTGGTGGCGGATAGGGCTCTGTGCCCGTGGGCAGTGTTCCTTTGCAAAATTCAGCAAGTCCTCTTGTTCCCAGAGCACAGAGAACACCTAAGGCTGTGGTCTGTGAGAGGCAAGGTCAGCCTGTTGATGGGCAGGCATCAAAGCATGGAGGCAGGAGAGATTCAGGGTGAAACTGTAGTCTGGGAGTGGCCTGGACTGCCAGTTGGGGTGGATAGTGCCTGGTAGCCTGGTCCACTCCAGTCTGTAATTATCTACCCAACAATGCAGACCTGGGGAGAGGCCCTGTGACCCGCTCTTGTTTGGGGCTGGTGAGAAGACACCTTTGATTAGCTAGGCAAAGAAGAGCCAAGTAAACCCAAAGTTAGCAGAACAAAGGAACTAATGAAACTTAGAGCAGAGATAAACAGAACAGAGGAGCACTCGAGAAAGTCAATGAAACCAACAGTTCTTTCTTTTAAAGATTTACAAAATTTGACACATACGGGACAATTTTATGGAACAAGTCGTTTAACCTAGATGAGACGGAAAAATTCCTAGAAACACACAAACTACCAAAACTGACTCAAGAAGAAATAGAAAAGCTGAGTAGACCTATAATAAGTGAGTAGACTGAAGCAGTGATAAGAACTTCCCAACAAAGAAAAGCCCAGAACCTGATGCCTTCATTGGTGTTTTGTCTCAAACACTTAAAGATGTAACACCAATTCTTCCCAAACTCTTAAAAACAAAACAAAACAAGCAAACAAAAAAACAGGAGGAGGGAACTCTTAAATTCACTGTGATGCCAGCATTAACTTGATTCCAAAGACATCACAAGAAAAGACGTCTACAGGCCAAAATCCATTATGAATAGAGATGCAAAAATCCTCAGTAAAATACTGGCAAACAAAATCTGTCAGCATATTGAAAGGACTGTCATCATGACCAAGTATGATTTATCCCTGGAACAAAGGGCTGTTTAACACAGTTAATCAGTGTCATACAACACATCAGAAAAAACACATGAGCATTTCAATTGATGTAAAGAAAACATTTAAGCATTTGAAGAAACCCAAACCTTTTTATAATACGTGATCTCAATAAAATGGAAATAGAAAACATTTCCTTCACATGATATAGACTGTTTATGAAAAACTCACGTGTATATTCTACTCAGTGGAGAAAGATTGAAGGCTTTCTCCCTAAGAACCGGAATAAGTCAATGATGCCCACGTTTGCTTTTCATTTCAATATTGTAATGGAAATTTGGCAAAAGCAACTAGACAAGACATATATCAATAAAATAAAATTAAGAACCAAAAAATGAACCCAAGCAATTGGTTTTGAAAGTGGATATCAAGATCATTCAATAAAAGAGAAACAGTCTCTTCAACAAATGGTGCTAGGAAACTGAATGCCCACACGCAGTGGAGTAAAGCTGGAGCCTTACCTCGCATCATATAAAAAAT